GGGAGTCTGCTTCTCCCTCTGACCCTCCCCCCTCTCATGTGCTCTCTCTCATTCTCTCTCTCTCAAATAAATAAATAAAATCTTAAAAAAAAATCAAAAATCAAAAATCAATAAATAAAAGCTCTGAAACTTGGCAAGAATATGGAGCAACAACGAAAAGCAAAGACTTCGTGGGAAGGTTGCTGATAATCGAAATCTGATGAGAAATCAATCCAGAAAGAGGACAAGTGGGATTTTCTAGAGGCAGAGGGAGAAAAGGCTTACATCTGAATCTCTCTGTCTACTCTCTGGCACACACAGCTAAAGGCTTTGCTCTGTAGACTGTATTGTAAGGTCTCTGTTCTGCACAGTGAATGTGATCTGGGCCGTGGTAAGGAGCCCGGGCACCCAAGGTTGGTAGACCTGGCTCTGCTCTGCCATTCCCAGCTGTGTGACCTTGGGAAATGACCTCCCTTTTCCTCGGTTGCTCCATTTGAAAATGGTACTAGGAAGAGTGCCCAGCACATAGGACTAAATGAGACCAGATCTAAAAGGCGCCTTGCAAGAGCCTGACACAGAAGGTGGTCAAGAGTCAGTGGCTGGTGTGGTTGCCTAGTATCATCGTTATTATTTGTAGTTGTGTAAAGAAATGTGTATTATAAGGAGGTAGTGTTAGAAAGGGAAAGAGAAAAATACAGCGCTCTGAAATTTAAGACTTTAAGGGATTGAAGAAATAGAAAGCAGATAAAGGATATGAAGGTAATCTGTGCCATGTAGGGCATGGAGCCTGCTTAAGATTCTCTCTCTTCCTCTCCCTCTACCCCTCCTCCACCATGTACCCAGATGCTTTATTGTGCGGTCTATTTCATCATCACGGCAAACCTTGGAGGTCTGATCATTCCTACCTTAACAGGAGAGGAGAGTGGGAGACTTGCCCATAGTCCTACAGCTGGGAGGATGGAATGGATGCTGATTTGAACTTGGGGCTACCTGATTGTAAAGCCCACACTGTTGACTATACCACGTCCCGTTCCTTCGAGATACAGGAGATGTCCTGTTGATGCTCTAGTTATCCCAAGTGCACTGAGAGCTAGTCAGCACAGCAACACCAGGCCAAGTGCTCACCGAGCAAGCTGTGGAGGACTCCAAAGATGACCTGTCACACGGTCCTAGGGAAATCCTAGACAGGTCACACGTTCTGGAGCAGCAGTAACTGGGGCAGAAAATAATTCTTAACACAGGGGAAGGGTTTGCCCATATTCACTAGCGAGTTTCTTGATCACATTTAGAAAAAACAAGGGGTTGCATAGGAACATGTTTTGGACTTAGTCTCCAAAGTTAATGAATGATTGGTGAATAGGAAGTAGTGCTAGAACAGAGGAGGTCAGGTAAAAGGGACAATGCTTCAGCCCACAGTTAGGGATAGAAGGCACGGACCATGAGTCACCCGGCAGCATTCATCTGTCAGCCCAAGGAGAAAAGAACTGGCCTGGCCTGATGGACACCATAAAAGGCGAGGCAGAAGGAGGAGGAGGATGCATGAAAGATACCCTTTTAAGAGGAACACAAATCCCGTGAGAGCTGCCTGAGACATTATCCTGGTCTTCTGCAACCAAGACCTGGTAAAAGAAAAGGCCCTTGGGGTTGTGAATATAAGCTGAAATGTACAAAAACAAAGCCTCATACATTTCTAAAGCAGCTCTGTGTAGGCAAAATATTCATAACTCAATGAGGAAACGAGGCAGAGTGATCAAATGAAAACCATGCCATTGAAACACGCAAGTTCCAGTGACTATGTCACTGCGAAGAACCAGGACTGAAAGAAGTGGTGAAATTTAAAACAACTCAGCTAGATATAAAGTAACTTTGTACGACAGCTGGAAACATTGACTTACGTTTTTTTTTTTTTTTTTTTTTAAGATTTTATTTATTTATTTGACAGAGACAGCGAGAGAGGGAACGCAAGCAGGGGGAGTGGGAGAGGGAGAAGCAGGCTTCCCACGGAGAAGGGAGCCCGATGCGAGGCTGGATCCTAGGACCCTGAGATCATGACCTGAGTCGAAGGCAGACGCTTAACGACTGAGCCACCATTCTTGGTGGGTAGATGTGTACGAGGCGCGCCATCTGCTGGCAAGATTTGGTACTGCTATTTGGAAAGAATTCTTAGAGGAGATGCCGGATTCTGGCCAAGGATAGTTTACCCTCTTTTTGAAGCAGTACCGCTGGACATTAAGTTCTCATAACATTGGTTAGGTTTCAACAGATGCAACAAGTATCAGATCTGGGACCTCCGAGTTGCTTCTTTCCTCTCTTACAATACAAGATAGAATACCTACTTCTGGGTGGGAAGAAATTCTGGACTGACAGGCCCTCCCAGTGATTCCTCTCTTTGGGTCTGGCTTCTTGCACGACGCATTATGTTTGTGAGAGTCATCCCTGATGTGAAGCAAAGGAGCAGTCTCATCATTTCCTTTGTATGAACAGATCACAATTTTATCTATTCTGCTTTGGTGAACAGTTGGATTGTTTCTGATTCTTGGCTTTTACAAATAATGTAGCTTTGGACATTCTTGGCTGTCTTTTGGTGAACATATGTGTGCATTTCTGTTCTATTTATGAGTGATACTGCTGTGTCACAGAGTAGATGAACATTACTATTTTGAAGATAAAGCCAGTTTTCTAAAGTAGTTATACCAAACATATTCTAAACAACAACATACAAGAAAGCCTCTAAGAGCCTGACATCCTTACCAACACTTGATATTATTATCAGTCTTTTAAAAAACTTAGCGAACCTTACAACCCAGCACTTGCACTTCTAGGTATTTACCCCAAAGACACAGATGTAGTGAAAAGAAGGGCCGCCTGCACCCCAATGTTCATAGCAGTAATGTCCACAGTAGCCAAACTGTGGAAGGAGCCGAGATGCCCTTCAACAGATGAATGGATAAAGAAGATGTGGTCCATATATACAATGGAATATTACTCAGCCATCAGAAACGATGAATATCTGCCATTTGCATAGACATGAATGGAGCTGGAGGGGATTATGCTAAGTGAAATAAGTAAAGCAGAGAAAGACAATTATCATATGGTTTCACTCATATGTGGAACATAAGGAATAGTGCGGAGGACCATAGGGAACTGAATGGGAAGAAATTAGAGAGGAAGACAAACCATGAGAGACTCTGGACTCCAGGAAACAAAGTGAGGGTTTCAGAGGGGAGGGGGTGGGGGGATGGGACATTAAGTATTAAGGAGGGCACGCGTGGTGATGAGCACTGGGTGTTATACACAACTAATGAATCGTTGAACACTACATCAAAAACTTATGTGCTATATGTTGGCTAATTTAACATAATAAAAAAAAGATTTAAAAAAAACTTTAGCCATTCTAGTGGAGCTGTAGTAGTAGCTCATGACTTTAATTTTCACTTCCCTGAAGACTGATGAGGTGGAATATTTAGAATGCTTATTAGCTATGTGGGCATCCTTTTTTTTGTGAAGTCTCTTGCCTGCTTTTCTATTGTTTGTCTTTGTTTTATTGATATATAGGAGTTCTTTACAGATTCTAGATATGAGCTCTCTGCCAGTTATGCATGTAATAAATATCTCCTTCCTCTCTGTGGTACGAAATACATGGTGATTTAAACCAGAGGAGGGGGTCCAGGAGAGCAGACAAGAAATAGAAAGTCAAGAGAATGACATCAGAACTCTAGGACCCAGGGGTGGATGTATCAGCACCACATTATTTAGTGAACAGAGTCACTGATGGGGATGCCTGGGTGGCTCAGTCGGTTAAGCATCTACCTTCGGCTCAGGTCATGATCTCAGGGTCCTGGGAGGAGCCTGCTTCTCCCTCTCCTCCTGCTCTGTCTCTCTCTCCCTCTCTTGTGTGCACGTGCACGTGCTCTCTCTAATAAATAAATAAAATCTTTTTAAAAAAATGTCACTGATGTATGTGCCTTGGTTGTGGCTGCTGTGACATGACCATGGTCCTCTTTTGCTTCTGGACAACGGCCACGGAGAGCCACGGACACAGCACCGTGGAGAAGCTCCTTCTGCCTGAAGACAGACTGTTCTGGCAGAGAACCTCCGGCCATGATGTATTCAAAATGTCCTAAACTGGAAACTTACTGTGCAGATGACAATTTGATCCGTGCTTGAATTTCTATCCATTCCTCCTTTATAATCCTTCCACACTGCAGCAGCTCCTTTGCAAGTTGCTCTGCCTTTGACAAATTCTCTGAAGCTTCCTTAAATCTGGGCTGTGTTCAGGAAACTTCACATATGGCTCTAGATTCTGGGGCCCCAGTTCCTGGACATCCTTGGCTCTTAAACTTCCCATCACCCTTCCTGAGCCATTTGTCACTTTTTGATTTGGCCTTGAAAATAAGGGGCGCCTGGGTGGCTCAGTCGGTTAAAAGCGTCTGCCTTTGGCTCAGGTCGTGATCTCAGGGTCCTGGGATCGAGCCCTGCTTCAGGCTCCCTGCTCAGCAGGGAGTCTGCTTCCCCCTCGGCCTCTGCCTCCTGCTCATGCTCTCTCTCTCTCTTTTCTTTCTATCTCAAAGAAATAAAATCTTAAAAAAAAAAAAAGAAAATTAAATATAAGCATTATGGGGGGCTTTTCTAGGTGGAATGATTAGAACAAAAGGATACTTATGAAGGGAGAGTAAGGCTCTCCCCATGGTATGGAACAGTTCAATCGAACACTTGAAAACATCTGTATTGTCGTTATAGGGAGGCACAATGGAGTTGGTGAGGATTTCTTTGGCTTTTTCTGCATGTTGCTTTGCTTGCAGCGACAGTCCTGTGGACAAAGAAAAAGCGGTCTCAGTTTCTCTTCCACTATAATTATCTCTGGCTGGGAAATCGAACGAGGTCTCCTTCCCGTATTGGCAAGTGACGCATAGAGATGGATCAGGGCGGCATGAAATATTGTTCTGACTAAAAAAAAAAAAAAAAAAAAAAAAATATTGTCCTGACTGTAAAAACCAAAGGAGTGGTTTACACCTAGTACTCAAGATAAATTTTTCCCCAAATGGCCTTTCTAGAAGTAAACAGAACGAGCGGGAACTGAACAACTTTGAAACCTCACCAATATCAGATATAAAATATGTTCTAAATAATTATAAGAAAACAAATGGAATGCAAGGACTATAGCATTCTGGGCAGGAAATAAGATATTCATGAATTTCAATTCTGGCTTTGTGACAGCGATCTTAATGAAATACTAAAAATTCTGAATTTTCTGCTTGTCTATCTATAATCATAACTTCAGAGAGTTATTTTAACAGAATACAAATACAGTGATAATCTACAAAAACTTACAAATATAATTTCAATCACAGAATGGGCTAATATGCCACAATCTCTTATTCCTATAAGGTTATTGACTAACATGAAACAAAATGGGACAACAATGAGAAAAATAATCACTACCAAGCTCTAATTCCCCAGTGCGCTCCAGAGTTCTTCCATGGCTTATTAATTTGTGGTAAGGGAGACGGGGGGGGGGGGGGTCACCGGTCAGGTTTCAGGGCTTTTCACTTCCCCACACTCCCATCCTCCTCCCCCACAGTGACATCCTCTCTGCCACCCACATCCATACACCCCTGGTCTTATGTTTTTCCATTATATGAAATAGTATCTCAAATCTCTAAAAAAGCTGCCAAAAATCTGAAATTAATTCTGTTCCTGTGTCTACAAAACAGAAGAATATATCTTCAGATGGAAAAAATCCAGGGTATGTTCTCCATGTGGGAACTCTTACAGAATTTTGTCTAATTTTTGTTTGTTTGAATGTTTAATTTAAATTCAATTTAATTAACATATACTGTATTATTAGTTGCAGAGGTAGAATTTAGTGATTCATCAGTTGCATACAACACCCAGTGCTCACTACTTCAGAGAATTTTGTCTAAGTTTTTTAAAGCACACATTTAATCAACCTACGAGAAATTTATTATTGCCAATTAAATATGCAATATTACAAAAGATAAAGGCGCGCTGTATTATCAACTTTGGTACATTCCCTCAAGGAACTCAGGCAACAGGAGGCAGTGTGGGTTGAGGTTTAAAAACACCAGCTCTGACATCAAACTGCCCAGAATGAGTTCCCTGAACTACCACTTACTCTGAAACGTTGGCTTCAGCTCCCTCAACTGTAAACAGTGATGATAATATTACCCCCCTTATAGGATTGTGATGAAGAATGAATGAGAACATGCGTGGGAGATAGTTAGCATGGTGCCTGGCATTCAATAAGACCTTAAGGAAGAGTAGATGCTGCTTTCACTTTAAATTGAGAAAGAAAGACTATCATGCAAAAAGGTAGCAGGCTGTGGAAGAAAAGCATCATTTGAAATCCCAGATGCCAGGCCACTGGTGTTGGCATGCAAAATCTTAGGTCTGAGTCTCGGATCATCCTCATACTAACAATGTAAATTGGGGCAAGCTGTTTCAGCTCACTCGTTCCCTCTGAATCTAAAAATATAGGAGGGGGTTAGGGTTTGAACTAGATGATCTCCAGGGTCCCCTCTGGCTCCAACAGTCTTTGATCTAATAGGTAGGACCAGTCGATAATCAGATTTAGCCAAATTTATTGGGTGGCAATTCTGTGCTGAGCATTGCTGGTGTTTTCGCCTTCTTGTTATTTTATGTATTCACTGGATCAATCCTGGGAAGTTAAGTAGCACCATCATCACTGTCATTGCTTTTCAGTTGAAGAAAGGAGTACAGAGATGTACTCTTATACAGCCATCCTAGGATGCCTAGTCAAAAGGAGAAGACATGCTATCCTTCCCTGCGTCTATCCCCCTTCCTCTGTTTTCTTCTGGGGACACCTGGCCCCTGCACACCCAATCCATTCGATTTACCAAGGCCAGCTTGTCCCCCAGGATCCAGTGGAGCCAAAAGGCAGATCTAGCCAATCAGACTATTCCTTGCCTTTGACATACCATCCAAGTCAGCCCAATAAGAACCCCCAAATCCTGAGATTTGGGGGGAAAGATGTTCTTTCTTTCCTGGGAATGCTGATGAGGGAAGTTTACAGCTTCTGCAAGACTTGCTGCTGCCACGTGGGCAGAGCCTGGGTAAGAATGAAGTCCATACAGAGAAAAACAGAGCCAAGCGGTGGGATAAGAGAGAAACACGGAACTGATGACATCGTTTGAACGCCCGGATCTGGCTAAGTCTACAGCAAGTTTTACCCTTTGCTTTTCAAGTTGTATAAGACAATACATTACCTTTCGTTCACTGCCAGCTTAATTTAGTCTCTTATTTATGTATTTTTTTGGGGGGGGAGGGGAGGGGTCACTTACAGGAAAGCGATTCTCCATCAAAACAAATGTGGTTGGATCCTATTTTAGGCCCCTACTCCATGCATTGGGCCCCTCCTACAATGCCTTCCAAGCTAACAAATTCTCTCCCAAGAACCTTACTTTTAAGATCATAAAAAAGGGTCCTCCAAAAAAATAAAACAAGACAAAACCAGAGAGGGAGACAAACCATAAGAGACTCTTAATCATAGGAAACGAACTGAGGGCTGCTGGAGGGGAGGAGGGGGATGGGGTAACTGGGTGATGGACATTAAGGTGGGCACGTGATGTAACGAGCACCAGGTGTTATATAAGACTGATGTATCACAGGCCTCTACCTCTGAAACCAGTAATACATTATATGTTAATTAATTGAATTTAAATTTTAAAAAAGGGTCCTCCAAAGCCATCCAAAGGGCTAAAATCTTCCTTCTCTTTTTTAGGTATCATAGAAAAAATCTCATTGACTCTTTCTGAAAGGAGATGGCTCTTCAGTGTGTGGACAGGAGAATATTCAAGAAAACCTAATGAATCCTTCTAGGTAAGTGGGAGTCAAATTTCCATGAAAGAGCAGAGACCCATGGACTAATCCCCACCCCCTCCACCCTCATCTGGGAGGAACTCACCTTCCAGCTGGAGGTAGCCCTGAGCCAGACTAATGTGTGCCTCCGCTAGTTTCCAGTGGGAGGCGCCGTAGCAAATTCTTGTCAGCGCTATGCAGCGCACCAGCTCATGGACAGCCTCTTTATACTGCGACGGAGAGAAAATGGGCTTTACTCGTCAGACAACTGAGAACGCAGAGTCACAAAGCACAAAGTCAACTTGCGCTTTTATCCAGTGTGTACTTCCTGAGTGCCTAGTATATGCGGGACATGGTTGTAAGCACTTGGGATCCATCAGAGAACAAAACAGGCAAAGATCTGTTTTGGGTGGTGGGCTGTTAATCGGGTGGGGTGAAATAGACAATAAATGGCAGAAACAAGTAAAATTTATAATACATTTCAATTTCTAAAACATTTAAGCTTGTAGTACATTATGAAAAATATAATGAATCAAGAAGACATAGAAAAACTAGAGCAGACTTGTCATTCCCTAGGGTTTCCAGCTGCCCAGCTCTGAACACCATTCAGGCACCAGTGGGCAAGTTGGTAGTGGGTTTTGAAATAACACTCGCTAGTTCTCAATTCAAATACCCTTCTTAGCAGCCTAGGATATCAGCATGGCAATGAGGTTGGCAGGACTGACAAACAGATTTCACTAAAGGAGTGAGAAGTCCATTTATATTCAGTGTCAGGACAAAGAGAACAGGGAGCTGGCCTCTCCAGCTCCAGGTCAGCTCAGAGTAGCAATACATTCAAAGCGAGGCTGGTAGTTTTAAAATGTCACTCCAGAATTCCCTGACTCTTTCCGTCCAGCGGTGCGGGTCTAGGTCTCCTTCCCTTTGAATCTGGGCTTTATGACTGGCTGATGGAATATGGAGGAAATGATGTGGTACCAGGTTTGGGGGCCCACATCTTAAGGAACTAGAGGCTTCCACTTTCTGTTTCTATTTAGAACCTTTTATGGGCTGAATTGTGTGCCCCCACTCCCCAAACCCAAATGTTGGAGGCCCAAGTACTTCAGAATGTGACAGTATATGGAGAGAAGGGGTAAAGTTGACGTTTAAAGACGTAAGTTGAAATGAGGTTGTTACGGTAGAGCCCTACTCCAATGTGACTGATGTCCTTATAAGACGAGGAAGAGACACCAGGGAGAGGCATGCACAAAGAAAGAAGTGGGGACAGCGAGAGGACACCCTCTGCAAGCTAAGCCTCCAAATGACATCAACCTTGCCAACACTTTGATCTTGGACTTGTAGCCTCTGGAACTCTGAGGAAATAAACTTCTGTTGTTGAAGCCACCCAGTCTGAGGTATTTGGTTATGGCAGCCCCAGCAAACTAATAACTTTACCACCATGCCATGAGGAAGCCTAAGTGGTCCCACGGAGAGGCCCAGGTAGAAAGGCACCAATAGCCGACACCAATCAGTCAAAAAAATAGGAGTGAGCAATCTTGGCAGCGGATTCTCTCTCGGCAGATGGAGCCCAACTAATGCTGGGAGTTAAGGGAATGGCTTCCGTGGGGAGACAGCAAATGAATAGTGTATGAAAAAGAAAGAAATGATGAAAACATTGGGGAGTCTAGAGAGATAGTCCACCGAAAAGAGAGAGGACCTGATCCCAACCACAGATTTCTAAGAAGGGGGCTATGTAGATCGGAAGTCAGCCCCCCCCACCCCCCTACCCCCCAATCATAGCCTTGGTCCTCACTACCTGCAACTGGGACAGGGGTAGAGAAGAGCAGCCTTTCCTCCCTCCACCTTCTTACTTGCTAGAACACAAAGTTCAAATGTCCCTTTGGCTTTCTGATCTTTATTCTGCCAGTTCCGGTGGCTTCATCCAACAGGCATGGGGAGGAGGTAGAGAAGAGAGAAGTACAAGTAGGCAGACTTTTTCATAACTGGGATGAGTCTTGGAAATAATTTAATCTGATGGAGCAGAGCATGAATCTGATTTTTTTTTCTGCCAAAGACATGATTGCGATAATTTGAGAAATATGGATAAGGTTTGTAGGTTAGATGATAATATTGTACCAATGTTAGTTTCCTAACTTTAATCACTGTACCGTGGTTACCTGGAGAGTATCCTCCAAGATATTCAGGCGGTAAAGGACCATAACATCTATAATTTGCTCTCAGACAGTTCAAAAAAATAATGACATGTACACAGACAAATAAAGCCATAATGCAAACGTTAAAGATTGGTGAATCTTGTAGACTTTCCTGTAAGTCTGAAAATATTTTAAAATTCAAAAGTAGAAAAAAATAGAAATTTTAAAAAGCCAATTACATCATGTTAATACTTTCCTGCAAACACTTTTAAGGCCTCCCAGGACACTCAGGTGGAGACCTGCGAGGTCCTAAGTGAACTCCCTGCCTCTCCAACTGCATTTCACATCAGACCACGGTCTCCTCTTTTACTCCAAACACATCACACTCGTGCGCACCTCATAGACTTTACATGTGCTGTTCCCTCTCCCTGGAACTCTTTTCCCTTAGCTCCTCCATACTGGCTCCTTCACTTCTTAAGGTCTCAGCTCATATGTCGCCTCTTCGTAGACAGGCCCGCTCTTTCCCTAACAGCACTTGATACAACGTCTAGCTCACTAGTGTATTTACAATGTCGATTGCCCCTCAGCAACATGAGGGCATTCAACCTGTCTATGCTGTTCACCACTGTATCCAGGGGTTCCTCACCTGAACTCCAGAACACAGAAAATAATTTAGTACCACTCCAGATCCACAGAAGAGATGTTACTTCTTTATGGACAGTAAATGCTTTGGGGCATTCAGGCTTAATTCTGCAGAACTCTGGTTGAGAAAGGCTGCCAGCCTACTGCCTACCTAGTACAGAGCTTGGCACGTAGTGGGTACTGAATAAATATGTGCTGCATAATGAATAAGCACATGTTCAAAACCAAATTCACGTCTCCTCTCCATAATCCTGCTCTTCCTCCTGTCTTCATTACAATGGTAAAGGCACTGGCAAGCTTCCCACCACCCAAGCTGGCTGAGACATAAGTCATGAATTGTATACACCCCCTGTGATTGGCTCTTGCCTCTACAACTCCTATGTCCCCTTAATCACCAGGCCCCACTGATTCACATTTCCAAATTCCTGTCAGATCTTAGCATCTCGCCTGCCTCTGTTGTAGTTCAGGCTCTTATAATTCCTTGCTGGGATTATTATTTTTTAAAGATTTATTTATTTATTTGAAAGAGAGAGAGACAGAGGGGGAGGGGCAGCAGGAGAGAGAGAATCTCCAGCCGACTCCTCACTGAGCAAGGAGCCCTCCATCCCAGGACCCAGAGCCAAAATCAAGAGCTGCACGCTCAAACAACACAGGACCCAACACATAAGTGGTGGTAGAGAAATACATATTGAATGAGCGAGTGAATGAGTAAAACTTTGAGGAGAGAATGAGAAAGGTGTATGCAGAAAACAAGAAGATCAAAAACGTAAGAATTGTAAGCTCTATAGAAGTTTCATCTGCTTTGTGTTAGATTCCAGTGCTTAGACCCGGCACTAGGGAGAGCGCAATAAATATGTATACACTGATGGAAAAAGACTGCAGTAGGTCAAACCTATAACCAACTGGTCTAGTATACGCTTGCCAGAGGTCAGGGTAAACCTGTTTGTCCATTTGTGCATTCATTCAGCAAGTATGGTGTTGACTGTGCCAAGTGCTGTGCCTGGAGCCCTGGGGAGCTACACCCACTCATTCTGTGAGAAAGGTACTCCATATATTCTCTTGTACCAAACTCCTGAGGGTAGAAATGTAACCTAAACTCTCATCAGTTACCAGAGTGCAGGTATAGAAAATGAAGGGTCCTTACTTCGTGATTGCTAGAGTAGGACTTTGCTTTCTCTTCACAGAGGTGGAGTTTCTCTCGAGGAGGCTGGAATAGCGCTGTCTGCGGCAGCTTGTTTTGGATCTTCTTTCTAGGCGTTATGCTGACAGCTGCAACAATTTCATCTAGGTGACTGGATATGGGGGTTTCCTTTGATTCTTGCATATTTTTATATACATTGTCCTCTAATTTTTAAATAAGAAAATAAAGGTGTTAAATGATAATTTCTGTACTTACTTATACAAATACACATTTTTCCTAGAGACTGATGCTAGATCTAGGAAAATTTCAATACTCTACATGTGAGTTCTTTGAAATTAGTAGCACTCCATCCAAAAAGATCCTGATAACTAGTATTAACTTCTTTGTAAAACTTTCAGGCTGATTTCCACTTTTAACTAAACCAAACATTCCTTGTTCACTAAAATATACATATTTATATATGTATTTTATATATGTATATACAGGAGAAATCAGGCAAGCCCAAACAACTCTCAAAGAACCCATATTAGATCACCTGAACCCCAACTAACCTTGAAGCAGTGAAAAAATGACTTATTAAACTTTTACTTCTTGTCAAGATGGGGTAATAGGGACCAGATTTATTCTCTTGCCTGAAATAGCCAACCAACCAACAAACACACAAAAACAAACAACAACAACAACAAAAACTCCACACAGACAAAAATATTATGGGACAATGGTTTTCAAGAGACAGGATATCAGATTTGATCAATGGATAAAAGAAAGTGAGACCCATGATTACCCCAGCTTATCACTTTGAGAAAGTTTCTAGGACATGCAAGGATCAGAAACACAGAAGTAACCAGGTAGACTCTCTGAGTTGAAGAACTAGAGCTGAGGATCTGGGGAGAACAAGGTAGCTAGAGTTCATAGGATAGCTTACTGGAGAGGATAGAGATGTACAGAGAGAGGATCCTGGAGATTAGCAGAGGGATCCTCACAATATGGGGAGAAAATACTGATCAGCATGTGTATAAGAAAAATATTTGAGTCTGGGGAAAGAATCCTTTAATAATATTGAAAGGAACAGTGTCTGGCATTCACTCAGGGCTGGCAATGCCTGTCCCCACCAAACAGACTGGAAAACTCATAATTCATAATGCATTGGGTAAAGCACTCAGAAGGGTTTTGTTTCAGTAGTGTGAAATTATTACCCCTAGACTGAGCACTGCTTAGACTCACCTAACAAAGCGTAAAAATAAGACCTAAAAGGATCAGCCCATTTCTAAGTAACTTAACTGCCCCATAAGACAAAACTCAAAGATGTATAGGAATACAAAAATAGCTAGCATGCAACAAGGTAAAATTCACAAAGTCCGACATCCAATCAAAGATTACAAGGCATGCAAAGGGACAGGAAAACATGGGCCATAATGAGGATGATAATCAATGACTCAAAACCCAGAATTGACACAGATATTAAATTAGGAGAAAAGAGTATTAAAGTTGTTATTATAATTGCATTCCATATGCTTCAACAGTTAAGTAGAGACAGAAGATATAAAAAAGGCCCAAATTGAACTTCTAGATATGAAAAGTATATGTGAGATGAAAAATACACTAGATGGGATTAATGACAGATTAGATATTACAGATGAAAAGATGACTGAACTTGTAGACATAGCAACAGAAACCATCTAAAAAAGATCACGAGGGGTGCCTGGGTGGCTCAGTTGTTAAGCGTTTGCCTTAGGCTCAGGTCATGATCCCAGGGTTCTGGGATCGAGCCCTGCATCAGGCTCCCTGCTCAGCGGGAGGCCTGCTTCTCCCTCTCCCACTCCCCCTGCTTGTATTCCCTCTCTCACTGTGTCTCTCTCTGTCAAATAAACAAATAAAATCTTAAAGAAATAAAAAATAAAAAAGATCACGAGCTGTGAAACAACTTCAAATTGCCTAATATATATGTAATTTGAGTCTCTATAGGAAAGCAGATTGTAGCAGGGACAGAAAAAATATTTGAAGAAATAACAGTCCAAAATTTTCCAAATTTGAGTAAAAGTAAAGAGCTAGAGACCCAAGAAGTTCAGTGAACACTAAACACAAGAAACAGAGAAAACTACACCAAGACACATCATAAACAAACTGCTCAAAACCAAGGTAAAGAGAAAATCTTAAATGTAGGGGGAAAAACATATTAGTATGAAAAAATAAAGATACAGATGACAGCAGATTTCTTGGAGGAAAAAAGCACATGAGAAGGGAGTAAAACAACATACTTAAAGTATGGAAAGAAAAAATTGTCAAGCTAAAATTCTGCACCAGTGAAATTATCTTTCAAAACCAAAAACTATAAGAATTAATCATCGCAGATTTGACTCTAATGTTCTCCACAAATTATTAAAGGAAGTCTTTCAGAAGGAAGGAACATGATAGCAAATGGAAATCTAGATCTACACAAAGGAATGAAGACAATGGGAATGATACTTACATGGGCAAATATGTAAGACTTTTCATATTACTTAAATCTCTTTAAAAGATAATTAACTCTTTTTAACAAAAAAATAATATACTGTGGGGCTTATAACATATGTATAAGTGAAATGTAGAACAGTAGCATAAAGGCTAGGAAGGAAGGAATGGAATTGTGAAGTTCTTACACTGTATGTGGAGTGGTATAATATTAATTGAAGGTAGACTTAGTCAAAGATGTATAGTATAAACCCTAAGTAACCATTAAAATAACCAAATAAAGAATTATAGGTAATAAGCCAACAAAGGAGATAAAAGGACTCATAAAAACAATCCAGTAGAAACTCGAAAAAACTGGGGAAAGGGAAAAAAGAACATATGGGACAAATAGAAAATAAATAGCAGATGACAGACTTAAATCTAACTATATCAGCAATCACATTAAATGTAAATGGTCTAAACACCCCACTTAAGAAACAGACATTGCCAGATTGGATAAAAATGCAAAACCCGAGAAAGACAATTAGATTAAAGGTAAAATGATGGAAAACTATATACTAAAATTAATCAAAAGCAAAGTTGGATTGTCTCTATTAATATCAAAGTAAATTGTACAGCAAAGAATATTATCAGAAAAAAGGTCATTTATAATTATAAAAGGTCAATTAGTCAAGAAGATATAATCATTCTAAGTGTTTATACACTTAATAACAGTTTTGCAATACAGGACCCCAAACTGATGGAATTGTGAGGAGAAATAGATAAATCCTCAATTACAAGTCTGAGATTTAAATACCTTGCTCTTAATAGTTGATACACCAAATAGGCAAAAAATCAGTTAAGGATACATAAGACTTGAACTACATCATCAACCAACTTGATTTGACATTTACTAGAACACTCTACTCAAGGAGAGTAGAATAACATTCTTTTCAAGTGCACATGGACATTAACTAAGACAGGTTCTATTCTGGGTCATAAAACAAGTTTTAGTAAATTTATAAGGATTTAAGACACACAAAATATATTATATGACTAAAAAGGAATTAAATTTTAAATCAATAACAGAAAGATACCTGGAAAACGCTCAAATATTTGGAAATTAAACAACATACTTCTAAAAAAAAAAACACAAAACCCAACCATGGTTCAAAGAGGAAATCAAAAAAGAAATTTGAAAGTAGTTTTAACTGAATGAATATAAACACAACACATAAGAATTTGAAAATGCCACTAAAGCAGTCCTTATGGAGAATTTTATGACATTAAATGCCTATATAAGTAGAAAGTTCTCAAGTTCATGACCTTAGCTTTTACCTTCAGCAACTAGAAAAAAAGAGCAAATTAAATTCTAGGTAAACAGAAGAAAAAAATTAATAAAATAATAAAGCACACCTCACAAATCAATGAAATAAACATAGAAAAACAATAGAGAAAAAGCAATGAAACCAAAATTTGATTTGCCCCTCTCCCCATGTAGATCCTTCAAACTCCAATTCTATTATTTACTACAGATAAGTTATTTCAAATTTCACCTTATTATCATTCATTCATCAAATATTTATTGAATTCTTACTATAAGCAATGCACTATGTGGAAAACAGTAATTCCTAGAAATGTAAAATCTAGCAGGAAAAAAGATCAGGTACACAACTACCATGATACTGATACTGGGTGGTAAAAAATGCTGCAAGAGCGGAATGTGGTAAGACTTCAGAAATAGGAACCATTACTGTTGTGGGAAATCAGGTTGCTTGCTTGAAAAGATTTTGAGAACAAGGACAGAGAGGAGAAAGCACCCCAAGCAGAGGGAATAATTACCAAGGGCTTAGAAGCGCAAGGTGAAATGGGTATATAGCTATCTGTGGGTGGTTCAGTTTGGTTGGTATGTGTCGGGGGTTGGGGACATGGATATAGAAGAGCATATTTCAAACCAACCTCTCTAGTACACTAGACCTAGGAGACATTAATGCACCATCTATAAGAGAGGGTTATTGACAATGATCAAGTAAGCTGGTAAACACAAACATTGTTTCTACAAAAGTACGGTTCTACCATAAACATGGACAAGTTTTATTACCTCAAGTTTTCTCAAAGGCTTTAATGTCGTGTAATTCCTTGTGAATATACCTCCGAGGGATATAGTATGCAATGCTTTCCCTAACTTTTTGGACCATGAAATCCTTTTCTGGGACACTCATTAAATCTTATGCAGCTGGTACTTTTTGAGCACTGTTTGGGAAGCCAGGAGGTAGAGGAAAACTGGAAGGCTGGAGCCAGGTTTAGAAGACATTGATTTTAGGCTAAGAATTTGATTGACTTTATTTGGCAGGTGGTGATGAGCCCCTGAAGGTTTTATCAAGAAAGAGAAATGAAAATACTGAGACTGATCTGTTAATTAGTAGACAAATATAATGGAAACTAGGGGGGCAAAGTGGCCACTGATTTTCAAACTTTAGATAGTCTCCTACACCTTGATGACTGTTAGCATATGTGTGTTCTGCCTACAATATTAACTTTTTCTTTAAGACTACAACTTTTTAAAAACCTAATACTTACTTCAGCTTCACCCTAATAAATAATCAGTGATATTATGGGTTTGATGTCATATTTTCTCCAATACACATTAAAATAAAAACAGAAGTATTAATATTTTAAAAGTTGGTCTGTGGGGGCGCCTGGGTGGCTCAGTCGTTAAGCGTCTACCTTCGGCTCAGGTCATGATCCCAGAGTCCTGGGATCGAGCCCCACA